CCTCTCCCCCTTCCCTGTTCTCTCTCATAAACACTTTCTGAATTTGACTTGATTCTTCAGGGCTCATTTGAGTAGCTCGTAAGTGAAGGATGAAACAGTTTGGATGATGTATTGTACTGTGCAGAACCTGGGAACTGTTATGAAAATCTTCTTGTACTGGGTCACAGTACAGTGGTACCTTGGTTTTCGAATGTACTCCATTCCGGAAGATGGTTCAAGCTCTGAAACGTTTGAAAACCAAGGGATCAACAGCCAACAGCTGGGCCTCAGGATCTTGTGCTCAGCGGAAGCAGTGTGCCATGTTCGACTTCCAAGGCGTGTTCGAAAACTGAAGCATTTGCTTCTGAGTTTATGGCCTTTGTAAACTGAAATGTTCATCAACGGAGACGTTTGAAAACCGAGGTACCACTGTATCTAAAAGGTTGACCAGTACAGTACACCTGAAACAAATACAATGTTATATGTCACTTACGTCTTAATTTTTAAAAAAGGTTGACCAAATTGTAGTTAATAGCTTTCTTTAATTTAGAAATGTTTTGGCACTGTAAGGTTTTCGGGCAAAAAAGAACAGATACAGGTATTTGAATTTATTGAAATATTTGAAATTATATGGGTAAAAAGAATGTTGAATAAGTTAAAATTTTTGCAAACCAAAACATCTGATACAGCAAGTGTCTAGTTTCTGTAACAGCTGCTCGCTGTGATAAAAAATACCTGGCTTACGTATTTTTGAAGTACTTTTTATTTATCAAACATTGTTAAAAGTGAGCCACTGTAACATATAGAGCTTTATAGTCTGCTCCTCTTTTCCCCAACCATCATTATACTTCAGTGAGTCTTTAGGGCAACCTTGTGAGAAAAGTAGGATAATTTGTTCCCCTTTTTACAAATGAAACTGAGGCCCACCATTGTGGTTTTACCCAGGAAATGCAGCTTTGTGAGTATTTGAGCTCAGACTAGAGGGGCCCACGTCTCAAACTCTGGTTGAGATGTTTTTCTTACCCTTCTGTGTAACTGAGAACCATCACTTGGTTTTCCACAATTCCTTTCTTTAAAAAAATATATATATTTCAGAGAGAGGAAGGGAGAGAGAGAGAGAGAGAGAAACATCATGATGAGAGAGTCATTGGTTGGCTGCCTCCGGCACGCCCCCAACTAGGGATCGAGCCCACAGCCCGGGCAGGCTCCCTCGCTGGGACTCAGCCGTGCCATTGCCTGGATCTAGGTCTACGCTCAGCTGCTGAGCCACGCCCGGCAGGGCCTCAGTTCCTTTTTACTGGCAGTGTCCAAATACAAGTTAACTTCATTGCTTCTCAGTTTTTAAACTTTATTTTTACAACTTCAGATTTACAGGAAAGTTGCAGCAATGATACACTAACTTTAATCCTTTTTATTAGCTTCAGCATGATAACCACTTACACTCTGGTTACAAAATTTTTCCCCTTAACATTCTTTAAATCAAATAACAATGCAAAAATTCAGAGGTTTAGATAGACAAAAAAAATCTTAGATCTGTTTCTAATAGCACAGGTTCAGTTCATAGATGGAAGAAAGTATGTATTGAAAAGCTCTCGTTCTCTTGTGGGCCCTTCATTCATAAGAGTCAGTAGGCCTTTTCTGTAGAGGACCAGATAGTAAATATTTTAGGTTTTGTGGGCCATTTAAGGTCTTTTTTGCATATTTTTGTCAGTTTTTCACAATTTTTTTAAAACACGAAAACCATTTTTGGCTTGAGGGCCTCCAGAAATAGGGCGTGGGTCATACTTGGCTGGCCCCTGCTGCAAACTTTGAAACCTGAGAACTCGAGTTTATAGCACTCTACTTATAAATCAGAATTAAAATGGAGAAGGAAGTTATATTCCTTGTAGGCCTTATAAGGCTTATTTTAACATTAGAAACAAAACAAAAAGGCTGCATTGATTGGTTGCCTCCCGAATGTTCCCCCAATGCGCTGGGGATCGAACCTGCAACCCAGGTACGTGCCCTTGACTGGGAATCAAACCCAGGACCCTTTGGTGCACAGGCTGACACTCTAATCCCTGAGCAACATTGGCAGGGCCAAAAAGTTTTTTAATGCAGTAGCAATTAGTGATTGGGAAGAATGCTAGGAAGTATTTGCTGGTTGAGTTTGTCTATGTGTATTTGCCACCTGTCGTGCACTGTATCCTGTGGAGTGGCTGACAGTACTAATTAGATACCTGCCTGCTTCTCCGCAGACAGGGAGTACTCTAGTAGGGGTGGGGTTGGCCGTGGATTACCACAGAGTTAGGAGGTAGCGTGATGAGTGTTGTCATACAGAGAGTGGTGGTGCAGCCGTTGTACGTGCTGGGTGTATACTCTGTGTGCATCAAGTGAAGGAGGAGATGTGTGTAAGGCAAAGGAGGAAGGTCACTTTCAAGCAGATGCCAGCTTTGGGGAGGGGACAGGGTTGGGAGGAGTGACAGAATTAGGCAAGGACTTTCTGATGGGAGGGCCTTTGTGCACTATGTGTAAGACCTCATTTCTAATCAGAACTGAGTAGAGATTCTGTATGGTTTTAAATAAAAGCACAAGTTTTAAACTTGTGTTTTAGAAAGGTGATTAGTATCTTTGTAGAGCAGTATAGAGCAGTGGAGGGGTGAGGTTGGGGGGAGAAGGAAGGTTAGTGTAGAGATGAGGGGTCAGCAGGAATAGTAATGGGAAGGAGGGAGGAATGCAAGAGAAATGCAGTAGTAATAGCTGGACGTGAGGAAGAAGAGGGTGGCGCCGGGGCTCGGCTAGGTGACCGGGTAGAT